CTGTGAGGAGGTTCCCTAACAAACAGGCCCCTTGACGCAGTTCCTGCAGTAGACATCTGTGAGGGGGCTACTCCGTCTCCACTGGCAATACCACTGCAGGTGTTAGTTTAGTCCAGCAGGTGGACTTCTTCCTGAGAAAGTGAGAGCTTTGAGGTTTGAAAGCAAGTGCTTGAAATCTTCAGTATTATTTTTCTCCTCTTCTTAGCCTGCTTATACTCTTATTTATCTCAAGGTTCCAAGAAAATAACAGTAGTATAGACTTCTGGAAAAGTTTACATTAGTGTTTGAGCTCTAGGATTGAAAACTAAAATGAGAAAACACTGTGGGGCACTGAGCTCAGAGGGGGAACATTGTAACTGCTGGTGTAGAAGAGAGTGTCCCTAATGCAAGAGTGATGGGCACCTCCAGCCCCACTTTGGGCTAAGCAGATGGCCTTTATTTTCAACCAGGCAAACACCTGCATCATCAGAGTGATGAGGAGTAGAAAGCACTAGATGCATAGCCATCTTGTGTTGAAAAGAGGTGCGATGTGGAGCTGCTTACCTCTTCTGGCCTCAGTTTCCTCATCTAAAAATGACCGTTGGAAGGGAAAGACGATTAAGATTTTCTTCAGTAACAAAGCAGTCTCTAACAGTGATTCTCAGCCCTGGCGATATCACCCTTAGAGGACACTGGCTTTGGTTGATTGTCACAGCTTGGCTGAAAGTGCTACTGGCTTCTATGGGCAGAAGCCACCCTACAATGCACAGGACAACCCATGACAGAAATATGAGGTATAAAATGTCATGATGCCAGGTGAAGAAACCTTTAGTGTAAGATGTAAGCAACTGAAAGGTCTCAGTCTGTCTTTACAGTTCCTTAGAGTGAGGCTTTATCTTTCAGGAAATGTGCTGACTCAGTCTCAGTGTTTATTTTTGCCAGATAATTATTTTTAAATCTGTTAGGAGGAGGGGAAGACACTTTCAGAAGAGACAAGCCACAAACGCGTGTAGGATTATCAGTCAGGCTTGTTTCTTGCTAAGGGTTGCCCAGCAATGACTTTGATTTGCTTCATTTCTCCATTTCCCAGTAGAAACCAATATCGCCTGCCTGTTGCAGGCAGATGTGCCAGTCACTGGTCATGTGGGGAGGTGTGTAGTCTGAAATTTCAGAGTAGACTTATTGAGGGGCATCTGTTACTTTAAATGACTTGCTGCTATACAGAAGGCCTAGATAGGGCTCCTCAACTGGGGCTCTCCCTCATCATCAGGATATTAACTACAGGGAAGTTGATGGGTGGGACCTCGTAGTCACCCTCTAGGGAGATGTGGAGGTATACACGGCAGACACAAGAGGAATGAGAAGGAAAGCCAACTTGTATCTCCTCAGTAGCTGCTTTGTTACTGAAGAAGTACAGTACAAACTGCTGAGACAGGAGAAGCTTCTGCCAGATGAAGGTCAATCAGAAGCAAAGAAAGTATGTTATGGTATAGAGAGTGTATACAGAGTGCAGAATAGAATGTATAGAGAGTACATAATCTGAGGTACACAGCCATGCACGATATTTTGTTCTTGAATCTGCAGCAAATGTTATAAGGCCTCAGTTAGCACCCCCTCTCCCACTTTATCAAAAGCTGCCTTATCACTTGTCATCCTTCATTTTAAACAGGGCAAGCCTCCTTATGCTGCTTCAGCAGAGGAAGTGGCCAAAGAACTGAAGTCAAGATCCGGGGAATCCAAGTCCTCTGCCATGTCTTCAGATGGGTCCCTGGCTGAAAATGGAGCGGTGGCTGAGGAGAAGCCAGCTTCCCAGATGAACGGGAGTGCGGGCGACGCCAGGGCCCCCAGCCACTCGGAAAGTGCCTTGAACAATGACTCTAAGACGTGCAATACAAATCCTCACTTAAATGCACTAAGCACAGACAGTGCTTGCCGTGGAGCCGATGCTCTGGAGGCGGCTGTCTTAAAGCAAGAAGAATAAACTTATTTTTTATAGAGGGTGAAGGATGCTGGAAGGATAAGGATTTAGGAATATCTGGAGAGAAAGAGAGCCTACAGTTATGTACATTTTTTCCTTTCCGTAAGAGAAAAATGAGGACTTTGGAAATTCGGATCCCTCTTTGATATCAGAGATTTAAACAACACATTTTTTAGTTTTAACCAGTTGTAGTCAAAATGCTACAATAAAACAAAAAGAGAGAAAGAAAATGAAGAGCATTTGACTCCCACATTTAAAATGAAGTACACACAAAGTTTAAACTGGTTATGACAAAAGCCTGTAGTTGTGTTTCTTGAACTATAAAGAAAACAAATTTTGGCAGTCTTTAAGTATATATAGCTTAAAATATCATTTTTAGCATTCGGCACCATATGTATGCCATTATCTTTGATTTTGCATTACTGTTCACAAGAAAGCTTTAAGGCTTTGATTTTATGATTATGAAAAAAATAAGGCACAACCACAGTTTTTCTTTCTTACTTAAATTTCATCACTGTTGATGTGGTTCTTTTGCGTTAAAAGAAAAAGTGCAACTATCAAAACTAAAAAATTATAGAGTAATATTGCCGTTCTGATTTTAAATATACAGTACATCATACATACTTTACAAGCAAGTTAAATGGACATAAAGTTGAAATCATAGAAGATGCAAATGACCTTTCAAAATCAACACAATGTGTTCTGAAACTTTTCGTGACTTAATACCATGCATCTGTGATCAATGAACTATGTGGTTTTGAATCGGATGTAGACCATTAGTGCTACTACTTGAGCTAAACTTCTGCATGGTTCATAATTTTAAAAGTGTGTAGTTAATATTATGCATGTTATTGTCCTTTCTTCCATTCTTACCAGTATGTGCCCATTTGCAAAACAAAAATGCTAATAATCAGTAATAGTCCTATAAAAGATGTTAACTCTGTTTAGTCATTGACTGATCTTGCTCTAACCTTAAAATTTTGTGATTATTGACCTCTGTTGCATTTATTCTAAAACCCCCCCAAAATTATCTAGCTGTTTCGAATATCAACATTACCCTGGTGTATTCACTGCTGTATGCATTATTGTTCTTTGTTGCTGTTTTATGCCTTCATATTAGCAAAATATGAAATTCCGTGGAAAAAAAAATCCCTTTGATCTTTAAAAAACAAAAAACAAAAAAAAAAAACAACCCCCTTTCTGTAGCAGGAAACAAATTGCTTGTTCTTGAGAACTTTCCCATCAAGAATTTAGTAGAAGCAGGTATACTTATATCATTTTGATGTTTTTGTTAATGTTTCCAAACAATGTACTTTGAAATCAGAATCACTTCTTATTCGTTTTCATATAATTCTCCTGATGCTCTTCATCACACATTAGTGATCAGAAACGAGATGTAATTCCCCAATCCCTGCCCGCAAGACCTGAGTAGGATCTTACTGTAAGTTGAAGGGAGTTTTGCCCTAACTCATGGATTGTGCAAGAATGAACTGCTGTTGGGTTTGACTGATTGTAGATGGGTTGTGGTGTGGTGTATTGAAGGCTATTGAATGCAACTTACAATGCTTAATAAAAATCTTTATTCTTTTAGTATAAAGAATGGTGTGGCTTTAAATTCCTTGTAAAAACATAACGTTTACTGAGGTTTTATTCAAATTGAAACAACTACTTGAGCTGGTCAAATAAATAAGATTTAGAAATATTTTGTTCTTTGTAAGTAATTCTAGGTTTCCAGTTCTAAAGGAACATACATAAATGGTTAGTATGAATATTATGCTGATGTCTGAGTTTCATAGTTATCAAAAAAAAATTCTCTGATAGAGCAGGCTTAGACATTTTTTTCTAAAAAAGAAATGTAATCTTGATTAAACTACTTTTTAAAAAAATCCATACTTCATTCAGATTTGTTTAGTTTTTACCTGATGTTCCTTTTTGTTTGGGGATCCACCACATTACATTTAGTTGTCATCTCTTCAGACTCTCGGACTGTTTTGAGGAGTGCTGATAAGGTATTTTGTTGAATGTTCCTCAGTTGGGATCAGTCTGATGTTTTTCTCATGAGTCAACTGGAGAATATAGTTAATATGACTTATCACTGTTGATTGACCTTGATTATCAGGCTGAGGTTTAGTGCTGTTTAGGTTTCTTCACTGTAAAATTGCCCCACCCTTTTCCATCTGCGCTCTTTGGAAGAGAGTCACTCTGCACTGCCCACACTGTAGGAGTGAGGAGTTATGCTTGAGTATCTAAATTATGCAGTGTTATTGCGCATGGCAGATTTGTCTTTTCCCTCATTTCCCCATACGTTTTTACATTAGTGAGTTCTGAGTGCTTAGCACAGGACAGGGTAGCGGCAGGCTCTGAGTACACTTTACTGGTGGTTTTCTGAGCATCCATTGTAAACCTCTCATGTTCTAACAACCTCAATAGTGCTAAAATAGGAAATGCTACTTTAGGAGCACTGTTCTGGGTGTTTTGGCTCATTTAATCCTCACAGTCCTATCAGGACGACACTATTATAACCACCACTGAGGCTTTTTTTT